AAATAATCAGCATTTAAATAAAAGACTGATCACATTTTCCCCCTGAAACTATGTATTTCCCTCTCAGGTAGAATTCCTCCTTGGGTAAAAATCCCTGGTTTAGATAGTTTAAACTTAGAAAGTACTACTAGTACACTTACTTTAAATTTTAAAACTTAGAAAGCCTTTATATTAGCTAATTAACTTCACAATGCTTGATTCTGTGTCCATTCCAGTAAGGTTCTCCAATTGGTATACTATGACACATTGGTGTGCCATGAAAGTCTTGAAATTAAATGCAAAAATTTAAATACTAAATTGATTTTAAACATCACACTTGTAGGAATAAAATATGCACAGATTTTAAATTAATTCTGCAAATTAATATAATAATTAAAAAACTAAATCAATGAGTCATGATATTACGCACATTTAGTTAAATATGTCATCAGTAGGAAAAGATTGGAAATATCACTGCATTAAAGGCACACTTAAATAAAGTAACTTTGGTACTTTAGTATTATTCAACCACTTTGGAAGAAGTCACCAAACTGAAGCAACCATGTGCGGAACAATTCTTCAGGTAACCATACTGATAACTAAGTTTCAACGTGAAAAGTATAACAAACATGTTGGCATTAAAAGTGGTAATTGGTTTGAGAACACTCCTCTGCCATTTACTACAGCAGTCATATATATATATATACTGCTGGAGTAAAGAATTAAAGAGTGTTAAATTTTACTTGAAGAGTTAGAAATGATTGGTAAGACTGTGAGAGACTACAATAATTACATGCGGAAGATGCCACTTGCAAGTAGTTTTATAAATTGTTTTTGGGACAAATACCGAACTAAAATTAAAATATGTGCCTAATAACATGTATTATATGAAATAAATAACTTTCTACAATTTGAAATTACCATTCTTTTTCTTCTTCTGCTCTAATGTGGTTGCAAATAACACCAAAATACTTTTTTTTTTTTTTTTTATGAGGGAGATAACACAGTGAATGTTACATATCTAATAAATGTACAAACAATTCAGAGTGCTTTCTTATTTTCCCACTTCCAGTTTCAATATCAGTAGAACTGCTGCGTTTTTTATGTATTTTTGAGAATACATGCAATAACAATAACTCATGTGCATAATCACATATGTGGATTTATACACTTTAAACACCACTTTGCTGAAGAGTTAACACCAGCTGCAGAAATGTAAATATTAGCCATATTATTTCTTGTCAAATGCCTTTTTTATTATCATTCATGAATGAAACATGACACATGATTTGTAAAAATCACCAAACAAATGTTTTTCGCCAATTTTGCTGACAATGTGCCAGATCGCCCTTGAAATCAGGATTGCCCGACGCCAACTTCTATTTAAGTTATATTTTTTTTATTTATTTATTATAAATTAATTTTAGTACATACATTATTTTAACATAAAAGCATTTTACAATATATTAAAAAGTTTTAAAGCTGCAAAAAGTAGCACAGAGAAATGATGGAGTAATAAAAAAATTTTGTAAAATCACATAGATTTAAATCACAGGTTTGTCAAAAGTAGCAAATTTGAGAAAATTCGCACAATCTGGCAACGTTTCTCAAACTCAGTAAGTTTTTATTAACAGCTACACATTAAAATTTTATATTGGCATATTTCTTTTCTCTCAAAGCAGGAAATGTCAAGCCTATGTTTACTCAATATTTCTCAATAACAATTTAAAATGAATTATATGATTTTGAGAATACATTTACAGTATATATGAATCAACTTCCAGAAAATTACTCATATCACTTGAAGGAAGGTTAATGTTCTTCATTCATAAGTATTCTGGCAGATGTAAATTAAAAGCTTATTCTCAAATATAACATTTCCTTGTTAAAAGTGGCCACTAAGTTGCCAAATTTGGTAAATTTTATTGTCAAATTGGTGGGGTTAATCTTTGAATTATGGTAACTTGGCGATTTTTTGGCAAAAATTTGGCGACCAACCCTGCTACAGCAACCTGCTAGTTTTTTTTTAATGCCATTTTGTTTTCACGAAGTAAAGGCATTTTTTTTTTCTTTAACTCAACATTTTTTTCCAACAATCTGCTAGCCGAATTACACTTATGCTAGAGCTTTTATGGAACAAAAGTGATTAATCATGGCGAAGATTAGGTGCAAAATTGGGAGAAAGTGCAGAATCGCAAATTGCTTGCCGCGTTATTAAGAATTGCACGTACACGGTATCCACGTACACGTCGACCTATTTTAACTTAAAAAAACATCCCAGAATTGCACAAAAAATGGCACTGCACACACTCTTGACTTTATCCATGTACACTGCTAAAGTTCTAGCTAGTAACCTTTATCACCTTACCAAAATGTCATCAAACTACCTGTTACCATATTCCAAAGATTAGCCATTGGTGGTTGTTATAATAAGTACCTCATATATTCATTAGCTAACAAGCATATGATAAATATAGCAAAATGCTAAACAAGGGAGACAAGAAAATTATACAAACAATTTCTTACATTTTCCAAAAACATTTTCTTACCATGCTAGTCCAGAAAAAATTACATTAATTATCATCTTTAAAATTCTAAATATAAATCAGATATATAAGCAAAATACGAAATAAAAATAAGTTCCCTAATACATTCTACTTTTGACTAAGTACGTATTCATTAATACTTCAAAAATATTATTTCAAAAAAGATTATGAGCTGATTTTTAAAAACTGCAATAATGAGCTGTGAAAATATTTGCTATATAAAAATATTTCAAATACAAGAAAGTCTTCATGATGTTATATTAAAATGAATTTTAACAAATATACATCACTTCAAATGCATAAAACAGCACTACAAATGGCATACATTTGTGAACACAAATTCAAATATTTTTCTCTCTACTAGAAAGGTGATGATACTATAAATGAGTTAACAAATGCATTTTACAGTTAGTTTAGAAAGGACATTTTAATACTTTAAATATTACACATATAATTTAGAACCAAATCCCAAAACAAAAATTTGTGATACTGTATAGATATATGAATTTCAGATCATAAAGCAATAATGACATAATATCTGAGTCTTAAGACTGATTAAATACAAATAATAAATTGAATTTTTCAAAAATTAGTTTATCATTTATATAATAAATACAGAATCATTCGGAGCTTTAATTTGAATATAATTTATTCCTTCAGATGATTAATGCATTATCAAATTAATGATGCATAGATCATAAGATAAAGCTCAGAAAGCTGTTTTTATTAAGATACTTGTCACAGGTTCCTAAAATGCAAAATGTGCTTTTATTTAATGACAAAATTCAAGATACCTTCCATATAAATTTGGCTTAACTATATTTTCATATGCACAGTTTTTTGGGCAAGTAACAAATTCTTAACAGACATATGACTTTACTATAATATCATGATTAAATAAACCATGAACTTTCAAAATAAAAGCAGTTTCCCATTTATCGTGGATTAATAATCTTTACAAATAAGAAAATTTTCAATGGTCCTAAATCTGATTTTTATAGTTCAGATTTTTAAATGCCTATGAGAGATTTTAAATCCTGAATCAAATTCTTTATAACTACACCTGCTAAACTAAATAAGGAATGTAAACATTTCTAATTTTTTATTAAATATGTAATTTGAAACTTCAAGCCAAAGCATAATTTGTCTTAAATATTTGTACAAGCTAATTCATAAAATCTCACTTTGCTCTTCATCTTCAGACAAAGAAAAATTACTATTGATGTTGAAACTTCTACCAATTCTTAAATCAGCAAAAGACTGGTTAGGCAAAGACACATGTCCATCAACAGAATTAAGATCATGAGAATGACTACCGTCTAATGTCTGTTTTTTGTCTGCCTTAAGATTATGTGAACGCACAGGTCTATTTTTCTGCCTGGAGGTTCCATGCTTTACTGCTTTATACGGTAATTTTTTCATGGCACTTAAAAGCTTTTCTACAGCCGGAGTATATGATGCAACATCTTCCGCAATTGAACATCTATGGTTTAAAAGCTCAATCTGCTGATCCTTTTCCCGCAACAAATGTTCAAGTTTTTTAACACGGTCCCTTAGTTGGTCAATTATTGATGCTAAATCATGTATTTCGGCGTCCTTTAGATCTGTAATATCTCTAATGGTCGTCTGTAACAATTCGTCTTTTTTCTTCAGTGCTTCCGACTGTTCTCGAGTAGTTGTTTCGAGGTCCATAACTCGCTGATGCAATAGCTGTAAATGATCGTTCGCTTCCTTAATACTTGTGCGATTTGGGCTAGGATTTACTGTACGATTTGAGAACATTGTAGATTAAATTTCGCGCTGATTGCAGCAAAATTTTTCTCATTAGCAAAAAAATTAGAATAACAACTTCATATTTCATTCGAGATTTCAATGCATGTTAAAATTTTTAAGCCAATATAAAATACTATGCTCCTCAGAAGCATACTGAAAAGGAAACAAATGTTCCCTTAGGAAGAGATTTAAAAAATTTTTAGTTAATATACAGATCGTCATTCTCACAGCTAACATTAACAGCTGCTACCGACACCCAACTGAAGAGAGGATAAGCCTTTTAACACTCAAGATTAATATGGTTTCGGATTGCCCAGCTAGGGGCGTTGCTAAACCACCAAACTCGCCGGAAAACTATTGCGAAAATTTACCTATTATACGCAAGTACGTAAAAAATTAAATTATAATTTTTTATAATTACTGAGGTATTAAATTCATCTTTTATATAGTCAGTAATACATTATAATAAAAACTCCTACGATAAGCTATATTGCGAATGAAATAAATTTATTGGGAATTTATTGATAATATTTACGAACTACTTCATTTCCTTTTAATGATTTTCATATTAATTCCTTACTTTGGAGCAAAGAATTTTTCTTTGCTTTGGCGTATTGTATTTTCCATAGTATTTGAAATAATTTGCCCAAATTTATGGCATCACTTCTAATTCCTGTCCTCTCAGCTGAGATGATAGTTACTGCTACTATGGCGGGAGTGGCAGTAGAGTGCTCTATGTTTATGTTTTTTGTTTTTAATATTTTATATATGCTATATTCCCTTGTTATACCATAAACTGTGATATTCAAAGTAGTCATTGTTAAATTTTTGATGCCGAATGGAAAGAGAAGAGGCAGCTGAAGGCACATCATTTTTTCAATTGGGTGATGATTCTCGGCCTTTAGATAACTGGTTAACAGAACCTGAAGATGACGGTCCTCTCGTGTTTCACCGCGTTAATTCGAAAGAAATTATATATCAAACACGTAAAAAAAAAGCAAAAATGATTGGTAAATATGTAATGGGTGATATTTTAGGGGAGGGATCATATGGTAAAGTTAAAGAAATGTTGGACTCCGAAACACTATGTAGAAGAGCTGTGAAAATTTTAAAAAGGAAGAACTGCGAAAAATTCCAAATGGGGAACAAAATGTACAGATGTAAGAAGGACTTATTTTTTTTTTCTTTTCTTTCCTGTTGGTGAGAGGGTGTATTTGTATATTAAATGGAAGTAAGGCTTGTTTGTTCATGCTTGTAGCTGTCATCATGTATAATTTAATTGGTAGTGTACTTTAAGATTACTTAAGTAATTTATGCATTTTTAATAATGTTTTATTCGATTTCAGTCATTTCACACAAAAAAAGTTCTTTTCTGTTATGGCACCAGATTAAAAAAAATGTATATATGTATGCGTGTGCACACATACGTCATATAACACATAGATATACATCCATACATGCACACATACATACATTTCTGAATCCATTTCAATAACCAAAAATTATCCAAAGATTTTAGCCCGAAAATTTTGTTTATTATGAGGGGGAAAATAAATATGTAGTTAATCTACTGATAGTTCTTAAAGAATGTTTTAATAAGCTGTAAATTGCACTAAAGTTTTGTATATTTTATTTTTTCCATTAACTTTTTTTATGCTATGTGACTGAAAATTTCATATTTTAAATCTTTATGACTTAGCTTAATTCTTTCTTGTATATTTAAAGTATAAAATAAAAATGTGCAAAATTATTGTAAATAGTATCAAAAGTGTCAAATATTAAAAGTACATTTTAGTCCAACATGTTCTGTTTATAACAAACACACATTTCAACACAAAAGGCTATCATTCACTTGTAATTTAATAATATTTTGGTACAAATGATAACATCTTTTAAGGCATTTCCAGAATATGCATTTTATTTTAAATTTGTATCCAATATATATGTTCCAGAAAAAGCACTGAAATAAATAGTGCTTTATGTTAAAGTTTGTTTACAGAATTCCAGCTGTGCAAATGCAGAGTAACAGGTTTATTTACTTAATGTCTTTTTTTTTTTTTTTTTTTCGTGTGTGTATTATGGAGCTGATAGCTGCATTCATTTTTCTGTGAAAATAGTAAATTATTATGTAACATAATTAAGTTTCTGGGAGATAGTCAGGCTTATGTGAAATTTTTTATTATTGAGACCGGTATCAGAAATGTAAATATGGATGTAATGTGTTCAAGTATATATGTATGTATGTTTTTGTATATACAGTCAAAAGTCTTTAATCCGGACACTTGTCGGGACTTCGGCGATTCCGGATTATCGATTTTTCCGGATTATAGATCATCAGTTTAAATCTGGTAAGATGGCATGCAGAAATTATAAAATTAAAAATATGAAACCGTAATTTATAAAATAATGAGCAATTGTGATCTAAAGAGTATCAAAATTTACAAAAAAAGAAGCTTAATATTTATTTGTTTACTTTATTAAACATTGCTTTCAACGCGTGCATGTGTAAAGCGTACGTTAATTAAGTTAGCCGCATAGCCAAAATTAGAAAATTGCAACCAGAAAACTATTTGATTTGTATTCGTGATATTTATAATTACGAGGAATTTGATTTAAATCATATCAAAGACGGAGTACATCGAGATTAAATACTACATTTAGTAAGGAATTATAAGCCGAATAAAATAAAAACATCTGCCCTGAAGATAACGATAGTGCTGACAGATCAACTTCCAGTTCATTGCGCGCCGCGACGTACCCCCCCCCCCCTCCTGCGCAGAGCAGCGTGAAATTGATAAACAGATTTTGGAACGGTTAGATAAACAAAGGATATGCCTTTATCCATTGTTTGTAGCAATTCGTTTTTTGTTTGATGGACATCGAAACATACTTTCGTTTTCTAGATCCTTTGGGAGCTCCAGCATCGGAAATTCTATTTGACATAATCGAAAGTTCAAGCTTACTTTTATAAAGTTGCTCTTACAGTCTGCAAAAAATAATAAGCCGGATCCAATTCGAAGATTAAGGAACAACGCAATCATCAACATTAACTGAAATAGATAATTAGATAATTTTAGCTTATACCGTCTGTTATACATTAAACGCGCACGTGAAAACGTATTCTGCGCTTGCGCAGATGTAAATGTCTTGCGCACAGAAAGATTTTAGCTTTGAGGTCCGGATTAAGGGTGTCCGAATTAATGACTTTTGACTGTATATGCATACATGAACACATCCATCCATCCATACATATGTACATATCTACATATATTTATGAATCTAGTCCTGATAACAGAAGAGTACCAATTTAGCAAAATTTCTAGAATAATCATTTTTTTAGATCAGTTACAAAAGTCGTTAGTTTCATGATTTATAGTGAGACTAGTTCTATCCATTTTATTTATTTATAATAAAATTAAAGGTTAGAGTAGACTGAAGGGTACCCCTTGTATTATTGTGAAGTTGTTGTTTCATTTATCGTTAAGTCAAGGGATTGCGGAATACCAAATTTGTACAATTCTCTGATGTTTTTTTTTAGTGAAAATAGGTCGCCGTGTACATGGATAAAGGGAGTGCGCAATGCTTAGTTTGTGCAATTCTGTGATTTTTTTTTAATAAAAATAGGTCAGTGTGTACATGGATACCGAGTTTGTGCAATTCTTTGACTCGTTATTTTGTCTTTGTGGTTACACAAAGTCAAAATAACAACTCAAGGAATTGCACAAACTCGGTATCCATGTACTGTGAAAAATCGGCAGTTTTTGCCAAGGGGAAATCCGTAAATATACTTTTACCAAATTAAATAGTAAACCGTGAAAATAAATTAAATGTTATATGCATTTGAAAAAATTTATCTGTCATGTTTTATTTTGACAATTTTTGAATTATAGTTATATTAGCTGTTACGTTTATTACTCGGCCATGACAGTAGTTATGACTTCAAGTACTGAATAATACACGGGCAATTTGTGATTTCATGTTTCTATGGAGACAGAATACATAAAAACTCAGCCTAAAATTTTCTGGTACATTTGCTGGTAAGGGTAGATTGGTATAGATTCTTTATCTTTCCTTGAGGATGGTGTCAAACTTGGAATGGTATTTTTGATAATTACAGATGATGAGTTATAAATATTAATTTCTTTAATAGTTCTCATAGCTAATCATGAAGTGCTGTACTGAAATGGTATTTATTATGTTAATATGTATAATTTTCTGTTTATTTCCATAATACTAATAGAATTGCATAATTACAGAAAATAACAGCAGACTTTTATGATAAAATAATACATCTTACCTGCAAAATTTTTACTTGGACAGGATAGTATTTTTTGATGATTAGTTAGAGAATTAGGATAATTTGTTAGTGGTTGCAAGAAATAAAAAAAATATTAAATGACTAGAAAATGTTATATATTTTTTAAATAGGATTAGATGTTTTAGGTTCCAGACTTGAAAAAATTTCCTTTCTTGATCCAAGCATGTATGTAAAAGGTAAAAAGTCCGTAATTTTTTATTTTCTTTTATAAGTTTAATGATGATTTTAAGTTGAATACTTCGAGTTTTAAATCACCAGGAAGTTCTTCCAGTAGAGATTTAACATTTCTTGCCCCATATAATCCTGAAGTTTCTTTTCTGGTATAAATGATAATGTTACAGATATAACTTGATTTGGATTCACATAATTTGTTAAAACTTTTTGACCAAAAATATTTTACATACACATGGTATAAATATTGATTAGAAACTGGATTGCAAACACCAATTGCTGTGTAGCAAAAAAAAAAAAAAAAAAAAAAAAAAAAACTGTAGCTCTCCCCTCCTTAAAAAAAAACTCTCAAAATATTTATAAATATCGCATGTATTTAAAGGAACACCCAATGCTCTAGCGATAGAAGAAAAAAGTCAAAGAGTTCGAGTCATCGTTATCTCATTTTGAGCAGGAGATACATTTAGAAAATCAAATCTGCACATATGTGAAATTTTATGGATGTATAATACCATTTTGTGCCAAAAATATTAGCTTTTAAAATATTCCAAAACTCGGACATTGAATGAATGCATGAGGGGCAAGAATGAATGAGAAAATGCTGTGTCACACTAGTGTGCTAGCTGGGAAGCGAAGAAAGCTTGTGTCAGGGAAAATTAATTTATTGTATCAAATAAATATGAGCTAAAAAAAAAAAAAAAAAAAGAGATACAAAATTGAACAAGAGGCGTGAAAAAATGACAGACATTTATATGATTTAACCTTGGGAAAAAAATTCATTTCTTGAAGGAATACAATGTCACATGAACTCTTTTAAGTATGATGGCGAGCATTTTGTCTGGTATTTGTTACCTTACTTTGCACTGTTCCACAAATGCTCACCTGTTTGATTATGATAGCCAATATTCAGGTTCATGAAATTATATTCATGGTTCACAGTAAAATGCTCATAGCTGCCCATTTCATTGGCCTTATATGTTCTTCTTCTTCAATGGCTCGACAGCCCTGGGTGGGCTCTCGCCTTCTCAGAAGTCTTTTCCAGACAACATTGCTTTTGGCAACTGTTTTCCAGTTTTTAACTTTTAAAATATTTTGATCTTTTTTGACACAATCAATCCATCTTGGTGGGGTCCATCTTGGTCCATCCTGCTCTGAGGTCTATTGCCTATGGGCTTTGTCAGAATGATTTTCTTGCAATAATGATAGTCATTCATTCTAGCCAGATGGCCAGCCCATTTAAGTCTCTGTAATTTGATGAATTTTACAATGTCAGGTAGTTTGTAGATTTTATAGAGTTCTGAATTAGATCTTCTCCATGATCCATTCTTGGACTCCACTGAGAATGCACCATATATGTTCTCCAACAATCTGAAAAAATTTTGTTGATGTTTTTGTCAGTTATGGCCATTAATGTTTGAGCAAAATGATAGAGAAATCATGAGAAAACTAATTTGTTTTATGATGTAGTCCTCCCAATATCCACTGTTGTATAAGTTTTCTTTAGATGAATAATCCTTTAAAAAAAAATTAACTCGCTGGTAATCTTTCTTATTGTTATTAAGCTTAGCTTTCGTATTTCTTATTGTTGATGGATTAAGTGCACAGGTTTTCTCATTTGTACTATATTTTCATTTAAAACAAATGGATGTGAAAGGTATTCTTGAACAGCTCTCATCACCAGTAGTTTCACTCCCCTCGAAAAAATGTTTTCCCTCCTTATAACTAATGCGTTTGATAAATGCTCAAGATGTATTTGTTGAGCCTTTTGAAAATATCAATTATATTTCCCTCGTGCTTCACTCAAAATTTATCGTTTAACATTATTTAAAATTTTGATGCTAATTGTTATGATACAGCATAAAAAATGTGTGAAGAAAATATGCTTTAAAAAACACATGTTTACAGCAGTGATTAGAAACTCATTCTGAAGATCAGAGATCTGTTTTCTGACCTCTTAGAAGCAGAAGGAATGATGAAGGGTTGTATGGTGCAAGGTTACTTTTTTTGCAGGCACCTTGTAGATATGCTTCATTTTGTTCTTTTTTCGGGGCTTAAAAAGAGCAGCATGAAGCACATAAGGAATGTTATGCATGAGGAAAATTATGAAAATACCCAAGCAGACAGGCTGCTCATTAGGATCCAAGACGGAATTGAAATACTGTGTGAATGTTCTTATCTAATTGATCATGGTGAATTTACAACTCTCTTAAATGTTGTCTGCTTTATATTAATTGAGAAGATGACAAAATTATAATTAACTATTCTCAGAATTTTTGCTTGGTAAATAATAAAATTGGATATCTCTCTGAAAAACAGTTTTGACTGTTGAATATTATTATCAAAAGAGAAATTTAAAGAAAATTATCTCAAAGTAGAGCATTTTGAAAGGCTTTTGTTAAATGAATGAACAGAAGTGCCGAGCCTCCTTACACCTTAAAATGGGGCTTTAGCTGATAAGAAAAGGCTTCTGCTTTTCATAACTTTGTGATCTAGATCATTAAAGAAAGCAAGGAAACGAAATATTTTAATATCATGGTAATATGGGACAGATATTGAAAACAGGGAAATAATTAAATTCAACAAATGTCTTTATTCATCTACTATGTCACTAACTTACAAAGTTATTACACATATATATTCCTTTTAAATTTAAATAATATATGATTGATCTATTAACTATATTGTTGCAAAAAATGTGAATATGTACATCATCATAAAAAATCATTAAATATATTTTTAAAACAAAATATGAACAATTTTTATAAGAAAAAGTGTGTTTGTTATAAGTAAAAGCATGAACAAAAAATTAAATTTTTAAACCTTTTTTTTGTGTGTGTTCTAGGGAGATTTTACTTTTAAAAAGACTCAACCATAAAAATGTCATTAAATTAGTTGATGTTTTATATAATGAAGAGAAACAGAAAATGTATATGGTTATGGAATATTGTGTATCTGTTCTTCAACAAATGTTAGAAAATTTACCTGAAAAGAAATTTCCTATTGGGCAGGCTCATGGGTAAGTTCATATTTTAGATAGTAATCATTTAAAAATAATATGTTATAATTATATTTCATGATAATATGAGATATTATATAGATGTTTTTATGGTGCTTGTTGGTTTTACTAATGACCAAAGTATCAAGGAAAAAATGTCACCAAAGTTTAGGCCCATACCTAAATAAAGGACCTTTTTTAAATGATGGAATTCAAATGAAATGGAAAAAAAAAAAGAAAAACTTTTAAATTAACTTCCAGACTTGTAATACTAATTTAAATACTAATTCCTGCTTTAAAAAAAAATAAATCCCCTTTCTGGATAATTCCCACTTAATTTGGTGATCAATCCTTCATCTGCCATAAAAGCCAACAAAGTACCTTTTTATTTCTAAATAGTATCTTAATATATTTTTAGAATTTTCTTAGAATTCTATGCAAATATTTGGAGCATAATTTTGGTCAGAAGAGAATGTGTAATGTTGCTGCACATTTTTTTTTTTTTTTAATTTTAAATTCATGTTTTCAAAGTTTTAAATGTGTGTGCAGAATGAAACTTGTAAATAGAGTCACTTAAGAAAGAAAAATTTTAAGAAAGTGTCTGTGTTATATATAAATTACCTACTTGCTGGTGAAAATGCTCTGACTGAAATATTAAAAGAAAATTAAAATATTCAAAGTATGTTTTAGAAAATTCAATTTTTCAACCACTTCACTCCCACAGGCTCATGAGCTTGGAGCTCGGAATGTCGCTGTGTGCCCCAATGCAATTTGTAAATAAATCTAACATGCAAAAATAATTCCTATCAAATCTGCTTTTTATCAAAGTATCTGGATTCTTGCAGATATTAATAAAATGTCATTTTTATAACTTAAACAGAAAGTTCTAATGTTAAGTTAAAGTATTAAAAATAAGGTAAAATGCAAAATTAGTAATAATGATTATATTTACATTTTGAACTTATTTTCTTACAGTGGAGTTACTTTCTTACAAAATAACAAATATCTTATTGCTGTATTTGTATAAGAAATTTTAAGTTGCTTGCATGAAGTAAAATATTTATAAGCTCTGAATACACGTTATAAGCATGCATACATAAAATAAATTTGCATAACAACTAAGTTAGCACTCAGAATATTCCATTCAGTTAAGTTTCACATCATTCTGACATCCGTTATGCACATTTAAAGTTTCAATTTAAGTATTCTACTTCAAACTTTGCTCCTGCATCACATTTGATATGGTATGCCCAGAGAAGGAAACCAAAACCCATCGTGGAAACCAACATTGGAAGTGAAGATCTTAAGAACTGTTATTGGAATTTTTGGCCTGTTGTATAATTAATGGTGATCTTAAAATAAACTCCTTGCTATTTTAAACCAAAAAAATCGTTCTTTTTAAAGCAGTCAGGAACATACTGTCAATCAGTTTCCTCATAATTTTCATTACACAATGTTTGGACTCCTTATCTACAGTTCCAGATTCTGTATTATAGAATATAAATCTTACTTCAGAAAAGGGAAAATTCTTTTCTCATATGCTGCTGTTAGTCTCTTTGCTATTTATTCAGATTTTCTTTTGCTAAATTGTTTTAAAATAAACCTTCAGTCAGTAATTCTGATTTCCTTGAAGACTCCCGTATGTGTCTAAACTTATCAACTTTAGTGAATGATTTTAAACTTAACTTTCTAAAATTGTTTAAAATGTTTTTCTTATTTGGTATATTTTTTTTTTATTATTATTTTTGTATTTAAGATAATACAATGTGTAGATCATTAGTTAAAGTCATTGCCAAAGTAATACTGAATTTTGTCCCTAATTTTAGATATTTAGAGGTAAATTTTCAAATATGTCTAAAAGAACAAATTAGGATTAATATATGATTTGCATAGATAGATATAAAAAAATAAAATTTCATACACACACAAAAGGGGGTGTTAATGAAAATTTTTCATTTATTTGTGAAAAAAATGGGAAAAAAAGAAAAGAGAGAGAGTGTTGATAGTGTCATGTCCACTGTAAAGTGAAAGTAAGAAAAGAATTACAAATCACTACTTTTTTAAACTGCTTTAGTATTCTATTATCATATTATGGGGGAAAAAAACTGAAGGTTAACCACAATATGTAGTCTTGATATTCCCTTGAGTCCTCTGTCGCTAACTGTAGTGTTATTAATACTAAAATATCTCTCAGCATTCATACGGTCATGGAACTGTTTTCACCCAAGCAGCGGACATTTGATTTTTTGTTGTTATCTCTCGGTTGTATTTCTGTTGGTCAGTTTTATGAAACCAAGAGGCTGACAAAAAAATAAATAAAAGCTTATTTTAAACCTTTATCTGAGTTTGTAGTTACTCTGCTAAAAAGATATGACAGAAAATTAAGTCATCTGTCTTTTATAAGTCTAGGAGTTGAACTTTAGTATAGAACTGTACAATATAATTGAATTGGTTGGGTGAGGCAGTTAGTGGGATATGAGTAAGTAGGTACTTTGAAGGTGGAAGTGGACACCAAGGAAGACAAAGGTTTGGTAAGTGTAATGCAAATTACAGATTATCTTTAAATACTTACTTTTTATCATTTTTTATTGAAATAATTCATTAATATTTTGTATTGAATTACTGAAATTTCTCATTTATGTGCATTTTTTCATAAATATAAAAATTACATTCTCCGTGATAAACATTAACATACAGGTACAAAGCTAGTGGTTTGTCCAGCTTGTATGTAAATCAATGACATTTGTTTATCTGCAATAATTCATAGATGCTTTTTAAACTCTTAACGACTTTGTTGTAGAAACTTTAAATTTGCAACTGAAATCAAAATTCTGCTTTTTAGTAAGTTGGCCAATGATATTGTATTCATCACCTTTATAGGTGATAGAAATTCATAAAAAAAACGTGGCAGTGCCTTTGACACAAAATATCTGTTGCAATTCGTAGTGTCTTAAATGTTCATTCGGTAGGTTCTTTTATTTTATATACTTATTTCTTACTACTTTTTATAGTCTTAAAGTAGAAACATTGACTTGAATGTAATTTCACTAGCAATAAAAGTGCTGTCAAATAAATGAGAATTTATATTAAAGAGCAGTAAATCAGCAAAGAGCAATCATTCAAGAGCAGTCAATGAATAAAATTTTAAAAGCAAGAAGCACTGGTATAGTTCGACTGCCTCATCCGGGACCATGAGTGCAAACACGCATGCGCCATTCGGACCGAATTATTCTCAAAATAGGGTGGAAGTATGGGGACTTTCTTTCCCTCCAGCATAGCTTTTCAGAGAAGAGAGACTTTACATCGCAGCAGTATACCGTCCCTTTTGGCGAGTCATGTTTTTGGCAGATGCCACAGTTGTGCTTGAGACGTCAAACTTAAAAAAGCACTTCCTCCTTCCCCCCCCTCTAGTCCCCCCCCCCGACAGTTGTTTTTTTTATAAAGATAGTGATTTGTTTTTTGCTTGAAAAAATGAGAGAATTGCATAAACTTGGCATCAGCCAAAGTAGACACAATGCACATAACTGGATTGCTATTTAAATGCTTTTGGTGACATCACAGATTGCCACATAACTATTTTAGCAGCATACTGCTTTGCCTCTTGAATACTTTTTGATGAGGATGCAGATAATTCAAATGTGTCCTGTAGTATTATCTATTATTAGTAATATTAACTTTAATGTAATTTCAATTGCAGTAGACAAAGTTTCTTTCAGAAAAAAAAAGTAAAGATTTATGTTAAAGTGTATGAAAAATGAAATGGATATCAAAATTAAATTGCTTGTTTAAATCAGCTTTAGTTGACATGTATGGCTTTATGTAATAATCTTAGATTTATATAATTTTTCTTTTCATTTTATCTCAATTTTTTATGTTGCATGAAACAGATATTAAAATTTATAGAGTGATGTATTTTGCAATCCATATATCTAAAATATTTGCAAAACAAATTTTGAATATCTTGTCATTTTACTGCATCGCAAAAAATTACTGTGGCCCTTGAGCATAACGTGCATTTGAATTGCATGTTTGCACTTGTGCAAGAATTTTTTGATAAATAAATTAAGATTTTTTTTATATCTGAAATAAATTGAAAGTGGATAAACCATTTAGCTTAAAAATGTGATTGAGAAAAATACTAAAATTTAGGCATATTGTGTATGCATGAATTTTGCATTCATTCGTACACAATGTGATGATATACCTGTTTTATTTGCTACCATACAGACAAATCTGCTACAGAAACTTTTTATTTTTAGTGTCTAGTGTTAATAATGTGGTAATATAAAGAACTATATCCATCAAATCACCATTTATGTAGGCACTGAGCAAGAGCCATGCATATAAAGCATTTCTTTTCCTCCAATTTATTTTATCACAAAAGTAAAATATTTTATACATGTATCTTATGTACTGATTGATTATTCATGTTAACAGTAAAGCTTATTTCAACAGTAAGCCATTTACAGTTAAGTTTTTGGGTAAATCAAAAGTTATGTGTAGGTTAATCTTAGCAAGAAGGATAGTGCCCTAATATTTATGTTGTTAAAAGAGTCAGCTACATTTTCTAATGATGATGATGATCACTAACAAATACTTTTATTGCCTTAATTTTTAGGTATTTTTGTCAATTGTTGGATGGCTTAGAGTATTTACATAGCCAAGGAATAATTCATAAGGATATTAAGCCTGGAAATCTTCTTTTAACCACATGCAAAACTCTTAAAATATCAGATCTGGGTGTAGCTGAAGTAAGATTCCCTTTTTACACTGCATCCCTTTTTATTTGCTGCAATGTTCTATATTGTATTGAAAATAACAAACATACTAAAAGTTAGTGAATGGAGAAATGTTCTAACAAGTATTTTTGTGTTTTGTCATAGTCATTTTTTAGCAGGTTTAGGAAATAAATCAAATCATGCTTCCCATTGCCTTCATGGCCATCTCGCCTCGTATAATTTTATACAGTAATGAATAAGCATGGGCAGATATTTTTTTCATCTATTTAATCATCCAGTGGGCATGCTAAAAATATTACACAAACACTTACTAGAGATTTTTTTGTTATAAAATGCATTATAATAAGATTTGTTTTTCCTATATTTACTAACATGATAATATCAAGAATTTAAAACATCATAAAGAATGTTGCTATGTATTTAAATAACTTTTTGCAAGTTTTCTTTTGTATGGTATTTTATGCTGTTTAAAATGTTTGGGCTTTTGTGGTTAAAAGCCTAACATCTTGCTTAAATGTGCTACAGTGCTCATTTTGAATATTTGTTTCATTTTCAATTGGTTCAGTTGTTCTTCATAGTTTTAATAGTTGACTAATTTCTTCATTTGCTGGCCATTATGTTTTGTCCTGTTTCCAAGAGTAAAGTATGTTGAAAAATGTAGATTTCTAATTTATTATCCACATATAAACTGAAAGTATTGCAGATTCTAAGAACTTATTCATAAAAAGATAAAAATAAATAATCTTTTAATAAATAAGAAAGTTGCAAGAGAAAAAATGTAAAAGTTAAAAGAAATTATATTTGAGTTCAAACTGTGGCCTTTGACGCTTATTAGAATAACAAAAAAAAAAAAAAAAAAAAAAGTGTTCATCTGATTTTATAAAAAGGCACATAGTGCATAGAATGCACCAACAGCTTGTAACACTTTTATCCATTTAGAAAACAAAATAAAACTTTTGAGACTCTAAATTGAATAAAAGCTTTCATGGGAAATAAAGTTAATTTAGGCAATAAAGTATTTTATAACCATATGTATCACCATATATCATGAAAAATATCAAATAGCAGATAAAATATACCGGCATGCCCTTCTCAAGAATTAAAACTCCATTACTGATTAAAAAAATATAATTTTATTTCTTCAAAAAAAAAATTAAATTTTTGACACATGCTAAAATAGTTTGTAGAAATTTCAGTGAAATAAATGTCTGTATGTGATTGATTTATTGGATATTTCTGATGAATCAGACTTGTCATTGACTGCAGTGCCCAATAACCTGAATAATGAACTTGACTTATTCATAATTTAGACTTTTTTTGGTGGGGTAGAGTCTTCTGATATGAAAATATGTAGTGTTTCTTTCATTAGTTTTAAGTATGTTCAGTCTATTCAGTGTATCAGTATTGAAAGTGGTTACCTCATTTTTGTATTTGACAACTGTGTATTCATATTTGTGAACATGTAAATAAGTTGAGTGTGGCTGATGTCTTCAATTTTTGGTATTTCCTTTTGTTTGTTGAGTCATACTTGTTTATTTTCATGTTGTGTTGTTTTTTTTTTTTTTTTCATACTTTGTGAGAAATCTGGGAAACAGATATAGAAACCTTAGTATTCATAGCCATTTGGAGAGACTGTTGTCCCTGAAGAAACTTGTTATAACTGCCATTTTTTTTAAACATCATAGATGGTGAACGCAGATGTGTAGTGCAATATTAATAACACATTTTGCAATAATTTTTCGCATTGCTGACTTGTAATATGGTTACTTCATTCCCTCAGAAACCCTATGAGACATGATTAAAAAAAAGAAATTTATGGAGATAAAATATAGTGACTGACCACAGTTGCCTTGTATATTGCACATGTAGCAAATTATAATTCAGACTCTTTAAAATGGCAACAGCATTTTTTAAGACAATGTTCAGTAGTAAAAGCATCTTTCACATTTTAGAAATTATCAACAGAGATCAATATCTAACTAGAGGATCTGAGAATTTACATGAATTGAGGCAACTTGAACAAGGCACCTCAAACTGATTGAATAATGCAGCCTCACCATCTATGAAATTACTTGGTTTTCGGTGGAGAAGGAGTAGAAAAAATTATCTATGGTGATGTTTATTTGGATATTCTTCAGCATTATGCCATTTCTTAGATACCAGCAATATTAAAATAGATGGAGAATCTTTCTGTTATGCTATCCTTTTAAAAGTACGTTTAGACCAGTGCTTTGTTAAGATTAATAGGATATGATACACTTCATATGGTCTCCTCCTGGTCTCCATATTTAACTTCTGTTGGTGCAATTTTTTTTTTTTTTTTTTTTTTTTTTTTTTTTTTTTTTTTTTAAGATACATTTTAGATGATGATGTCCATCAAACATCAGTATCGTGATTTTTATATATTGTTATATCAAGTTTTATGTTTTATGTATGTCTCATGCTTTTTGTTTATCTCAAGACAAGCACAAGATTGTATATCAATAATTCTAAAGGTATTGTGTTTTTAAATATTTTTTTATTTTACTATTGGTTGGGATCTGATGGATTTATTATGTAAAATCAGCTTCTAGAAGTATAACTCCATAAATGCTAGAAAACATATATGATGGAATACTGAAGATTATTTGTATGTTTGCTCCACTACAAAAGCTAACTACATAGAGATGTATTAATATCATAAAAAATTTTTTTCATGTACTGTAAAGTTTAAATTTCTTGTGGTTTTAATTATCATCAGTTTACTGTAGTGGACCATAGTAAATAATTCAGCTTATTTGACTGTATTCATGATGAGAAGTGTTGCTTTTATTTCAGACCTTCCTTCCCAAAGAAAGCATTTTATTCAGCTCTGTCACTTGGAAAATGGTGGTTGTTTGAAACCTCATATTTTTTAATGATCATAGTAAATAAAATTCTGAATTTAATAAATTCTTATGCATGTAATATTATAGTTAAATATCAATAAGATTGTACAAAACCATATATTTGTCTAGCAGTTTAAAAATGAAGGACACATTTTATCCTTTAATTAAATATATATATTTTATTTTTTTGAAGGCATTAGATCGATTTGCCAAAGATGATATTTGTTATACAAGTCAAGGATCTCCTGCTTTTCAGCCACCAGAAATTGCTATTGGTTTGGAAAGCTTCTCTGGTTTTAAAGTAGATATATGGTCATCTGGTGTTACATTGTAAGAAACTTATGTTTTTAATACTTCTATAAATATTTTTTAACCTTTTTTAGTATGTGTTATAGCATAAAATATTTAAGTACATAAATTAGAAGTCACAAACCATCTTATATGTGCTGTTTTGTGTTCAGAAAAGTTAAGTCTCAAGAAAATAAAAATTTGTGACTCTTGTACTGGGCAATGGTACTTGTACTGTTGTGTTATTTTAGTAGAAGTAAAATGAATCAGAAGCATATTCATCAGTCTACAATTACATTTAAAAAATGTTATTTCAGTAAATTACAAATCATTATTTAAAAGAAAATTGAGCATTTTTTTTATTCATGAACAGTCTTTTAGAAAGGATAAATTACATGATATACCTCAATGCACACTGCAGAAAAACTGTTATTTAAGAAAGAATATTTATTGTAAAATAAGCTATTAACTTGTTTAGGCTTTTCCTTAAAAAATAATTTTGTTTCTCCACACAGTTAACATGAGATCATTTGAATCTTTGGATCCTAACCTAAGAAATCGTTAAACATTTTTTCCAAAAACTATGGAAAAACAATTTTACTGATGCCCAGCATAAAATTCAGAAGAAAAATGTGTTTTAGATGACAAAGAATCGCAATAGCTCACGAGCCACAGTATGGCCATGTCTGCTATATATAAATCTAATATTCGCGTTTTCAAAATATGGAAAACGCAAGTTAAATTTCGGCAATAGGTCCAGTAGAACGGGAGATATAGAATTGTCCCATTTATTTTGTGTACAAGGTTAATAAAGAAAATATTGTATTATTAATTAAATATAAGAAATTTAAATATTTTTATTTTATTTTTTATTTCTTTAGGTATAATTTTACTACTGGAAGATATCCATTTGAAGGTGATAATATTTATAAATTATTCGAAAACATCGGTAAAGGAGAATTTGAAGTTCCTGAAGATCTAGATCCACTTTTACAAGATTTGCTTCTAGGTATTTTTATGAGATATTCCTTCTGCAATATAGAGTCTTATTCTAGAAAATGTTCACTTATTAAGAATATATCAAAACATTTCAACACAAAGGTTACTGGGCTTATTACTAAAAATAATAGGGTAGCTAAATGCTTAACTGATGTATTCTTTAGTTACAGATTTGAATCAAATGTTTTTATATGTTTGAATTTATTTTGATTTTTTACTGAGCTTATATTGTGCTTTCCAAATCAATTTATCTGATTATTATCAAATATGCTGAAAGTTGCTGGCAACAAGTGGCAGAATAAATAAAATATGTCTGTATTAATTAATTTATGGTGTCATTTAAGTATGAAAAAGAAATCATCAAAAACAGTTTAAAAAAACTTTTAAAAAACAAATATGCTGAATAGTTGTAAAAATGAAATTTAAAAATATATGATAATAGTCTATAAATGATGATATTATATTAAGATTATAGTAATTAATGTATGAGATTATGGGTTGGGGTTATGAAACAAAAATATACTGCTTGCCATTAAAATTGCTACACAATGAAGGTGGCATTTTAACAATAATCATAAACTGCATTTAAGGTGTTACATATTGGGATATGAAAATGATTAGCATTCCAGTACATGAGCACAAAGCAGGTATGAATAATGCTTTTTACATTATTAATGGGAAGATTGCATAGTGGTTTCTCATTTGGGAATCTCATTTAAATGTTGGTTGTTTGAGGTTGTATTATGCCTTATATTAGGAGAAACTTATCAGCACTGCTCAGAATTTGGCCATGGCAGGATCATGATAAATGTGGTTAAATGTTATACGAGATTGGTTAAGATCCCATGACTATCAAGCAAATATGAAATTGATCGTTTAAAGAGGGCTATAATGAGTGCCATGAAGGATCTCGATGGCTCTGGCCACTAACACCTGAGAGGACAGACATGTTTTCTTGGCCTTGTTGGATTGTACAGCCATGTCATGTATCCTGAGTGAGGACCTGGCTGTGCATAGGATGACAAGTGTCTGCACCAATAGTGTGACAATGCCTGCAACACCACAAACTGTGAACATTGTGATCATTGTTGCGGCTTCCCTTGATGCTGCAGCAGAGACAAGCCATGTCTACAGTGAATGACAACATTAGACACAGATATGGCACCATTTCATCTTTTCAGACAAATTCCATTTCTGCATACAGCATCGTAATGGACATAAGTAACTGTGGATGCATTCAGGAAAATAAACATTGCCAGCTTGCAATTGTTCTCATTATATGAACCTGGCGTACTGGTATGGGATGTCACTGGATACAAATGCCAGTAACTTCTTATTTTTAAAGCCAATTTTGTGAACAACCATCATTATATTTTTGACATATTGAGGCTTATGGCCATACCCTATTTTCGAAGCCTGCATGATACCATCTTTCAACAAACACAAAAGGTGAGTTATTGCCTGTCTAGCACATTCTCCAGATTTCTCACCCTTTGAGAACATCTAGTCTGGGTTGTCGAGAGACTGGCATGTCAGCATAAGCCAAACGCTATGATTGATGAACTCTAGCATAGAGTTGAAGTTGCGTGGAATGAAGTACCCCTATCTGCTGAGGTCGGCTCAATACCTAACCATATTACAGCTGTAGTTATTGCCAGAGGTGGCAGCAGTGTTTGCTGAATTCTGCTTCTGGGTTATACCTTCCTCCCATTATACTATATATGTACGATAAACAAGATTCTTTCACATTTGCAGTGGTACACTTAATGGTGAAAATGGACAGATGACAGTGATTTTTCAGACAAATCAAGCCTCTGCCGACTGTACCACAGTGGTCGGATTCGAGTTTGGAGACTGGAGAGCGGCTGCTCGACTGTTATGTTATATAGCATCATACTGGTCCTGCACCCGGTGTTATAGTGTTGGGTGGTGTTGGATTCCTCTCTCGCACCTCCTAGTATGCAGTATTGGTGCACTTATGAGCTAACACTGTATCTCGGAGGTTTTGCAGTCTGTTCTTCCTTTCAGGGTTTGCCTGTGGCAACATTTCAAGAGGACAGTGTATGACCGCTCATTGCACACAGTATTCAAGCTTTCTTCTTAGCCCATTATATTACATTGTTACTCTGGCCTGCCCATTCTCCAGATCTATTGCACATCAAACATATCTGGTCAATGATTGAAGAGTGCCTAGCTTGACATGCCACATCCGCAGATACCAGATGAACTTTCGCTTCATGTGGAGGTAACACGGGCTGCCATTCTGCCACTCATCCAAAGCCTGCCTTCTTTTACTTAGTGCTGCAGGATGTAGCTGCAGTTATTGACTAACGAGGAAGCAACACTCATTACTGATTTCCTTGTCTTCCTCACCTCAAAGAAGGCTGTATTTCAAAATAAATTAATATTAATACTATCTATAATCTCTGAAATAAATTTGGCTTTGGTATCTCTGGTTCTTCTTTGTGTTGCATTTTAGATCGCCAGCAGTGTAAGAAAATATTCATAGCCCTTCTGAGAAATTTATGATTTTGAGGCCACACATGGCTGCTTGGAAGGTTAACTAATTAAAGTACATGGTAAAAAGTTAAGTGCATTTAACACAAAATTGTATATTACTTTTGTATTGTTTGATGCTGTATGTATTGAGTTTTTTTTTTAATAAAAAAAGTATTATAAGTTGGATATTTCTTGCTAGTAAAACAAAATTAAGAGATTTCTACTTCATATCAGTATTTATACATTGTTATCTGAAATACATAAGATATAATTTTTTTTTCATTTTTCATAGGTATGCTTCGTAAAGATCCTAAAGAAAGGTTTACATTAAAACTTATCAGAGAACATGAGTAAGTAAAACATTTTTTATGTACAGTGCAAAGTCCGAAATCCGGACTCGCCGGGACTTCGGCGATTCCGGATTTGGGATTTTTTCGGATATTAGATCATCAATTTAAATCTGGTAAGATGGCATGCAGAAATTATACAATTAAATATGAAATTGTAATTTATGAAATAAAGAACAATTATGATCTAAAGGGTATCAAAATTTACAAAAAAAAAAAGCTTAATATTTATTTTGTTTACTTTATTAAACATTTCTTTCAATGTAAGTTGTTTAAGTTGTTTCCACAAAAAATTCAAAAAGTTCCTTTTCCTTTTTTCTTATGTCATATACAGTTGACTTTCCAATGCCATTCTCCTCCGATAATTTTAAGACAGATATGCCTTTATATCCATTTTTTGCAGCAATTCCACTTTTTGCGTAATAGACATCGAAACATGGTTTTGCTTTGTAGATCCTTTGGCAGCTCCAGAATTGGAAACTCTTTTCGACATAATCAAAAGTTCAAGCTTAGTTTTTATAATTGCTGTAATAATAAGTCTACAAAAAATAATAAGCTGGATCAAACTAGAAGATTAGAGAGCAGCGCAGTCCGCTTCATTAACTGAAATGCCTTAGAATCAGTAAAGATAATTTTAGCCTAGCGTAATAGCGTCCGTTATACATTATTGGCTGTGTACCACAAGATTGGCGACAAAAGCCAAGTTGTTTCGCTAAATTTTGTCTTGCTCCTATTGTGTACTGAATTAAGCCTGAATTGTATTAGTTATTTACTATACTTAATGTGAATTAATTTCTAGTAATGCATAGGCATGTGAAGGGCATGCATATGTAAAGCTAAGCTGCTATTGGTTGTCTTTGGGGTGTCAGTTCCATTTGTATCCAGCATTATGTAAGAGTAATATGACATTAGAATGTTTTTGAATTTAGGAGAAAAATGAACAAACATATAAGGGTTAATTTAGAGGTTGCCAATTATTATTACTTTCTTAATGTAGCAATCATATTTTATACTTATATATATAATCCTGTGTATATATATATATATATACACATACACGATGGTCTGTTCCATAGTTATATTGTGAAAGTGAAACTTCCTTTCCTTTCCAGAAAGGGTTAAAAACATGGAAGTTTGGAATTTATCTTTCTGGAAGCTTGGCATCTGAAATTTCACCTTTGGAAATTTGCCTGTCATACTGAGGCGTTTATAAAAGCATGTATACAAAGCCTTTATTACAACAAAGGGAAAGCACACATAAGAATACCTATATTGTCACTTTGCTCCTTGACTAGAAAATTCCTATAGTAAAACTTTTTTTTTTTTTTTTTAACAGACTATTTTGGACTTGTGGATTTCAACTGTTATGATCCAATTTATTAGTTCATGAGTTTTATCATTTTCATTAAATTTTTAAGTTAAAATTTTAATTAAAAAACTTTAATTTTTCAAAAACAGAAAATAAAATAACTTGAAAAATTCTGAATGTTTGGCATTGCGAGTATTAAGATGAATATAAATTTTATGTCATCAAAACTCATGCTGTAAAATAAATTTTCTATAATTATGTTTCTTATACTTTTTCAGCTGGGTTAAAAAGAAATATTCAGATAATGAAGAATACCCTTGTATTCCTTTGAATAGTGAAGATGAATTTTGTAGCATGAGTGTTTTACCATATCTTCAAGATCTTCATTATTCCCAACAAGATGACGAGGACAGTGATTCTCAAGAATTTATTACAGAACATGATCTTCAAGGTAAATGTCTTTAAATTCATTTTTATTAGAACATTTTTAAAAGAAAATCTAAAACAGAAAAAAAAGGAAAAACACAGTAAATTAGGCATAAATATTCCCCCTTCCTTAAAAGAACAGCATTTTATGTATATTATTTCTAGTAGATTTGTTTCATAGTATCAAGATTACTCTTTACAAATTGAAAATTGTCTGGGGAATTGTTAAATAAAATTTTCTTCCATGAACATTAATAATCTTAAAGACCACTACATGTATTGCCACCAAACTAACTATTTTTAGTGTTTAGGATTCAACTTAAGTTACTCAGTTACTAATGAATAATTTTTAAGTCCTTCATGTGTATGTTATTGAGCAAAGAAGGAGCACTTATTAATTTATAAGTATATTTCTGTTTTTCATTTAGCTCTTCCTGCTTTTTTATGATACCAGTATATGTAAAATTTATGAACATGGTTCACTATAATAAAATTCGTTACATATCACAAGAGATCCTAAATAAAAGTAAACATATTTGGCAATAAATGCTTCAAAGAGAGTTAAAAATAAACAATCTGCTTGTGAATACAAAATACAGTCAAAAGAAAGTTTTTAATAATTAATACAGGGTTTGTACATTCCCTAAGAGTCCTTAAAAGTCCTCAGGTTTTCTGGTCTGTAAAAGTCCTTAATTTCAACTAAATTCAGGAGAAGGTCCTTAATTTTAATCATCTGAAATTGTTTTTACGACTGCCATTTTCAGGAATTAGCATTTTGGACAAATATTTTTTGGCGATTCATTGAAAAATATAGTTATCTTTTGAATGGGTGAATAGGTTCCATAGATTATAATTTGTTCCTGTTTCTAATATAAACGGTGGAATACTCAAGTTTCTGAGCAAGAAGTGAACCATAAGCATTTTGAAATTATTTCATTTTTTCTAATGAAGAGCTCTTAAACAGCTTTTCACTATTGGAAATATGAATTCTTTATTAAACAGTTCCAAATTTGGCGATCAGTTTCTAAAGAAAATTTTTAATTCAAAAATATGGGAATTTTTCGACAGTACTGTTTTAAACATTATATCATTAATAGATTTCATTAAAATAATGCTGATATATTGAAATTGTATTTAAGAAATCACAATAAAATGAACCGTTTTTATCTTTTGCTATCATATTCTAAAGTGACATTACATTCCATTTTGACGACTTAATATACAATATTTTGAATCTGAAAAATAAACAAGATAATAAATGCTTAAATGATGCTTTAGCACAGTTTATGAAACAATTCTTAGCAAAAGCAAAATAGCTATAATTAATTAAAAATTCCTTCATTTTGCTTTTTCCATGGTAAGAGTTTTTCCCATATAATTGTATCAAATGTGAATCAGTTTTCTCTATAAGGTTAATTTTACGTTTTTTCCCTCTGATTTTTTTTTTTCAACATATTTCTGGCTTTTTGTTGTTACAGAATTGGTAGGAGTAATTTTTCTTTAGGATTTTGGACATTGCAACTTGGAAAGTTTAGAAGGGTTTGAAGGCAAGATTTATAGACCCACGAATCTAGAAGATTCCAGAAAAATGTCTTCATGGTATTAACACATAATGGATATATTTTGCAGAACATTTGTGATGAACTTTTACTTTCTGGAGAATTTTCGGAAGAACAATGAAAACATAATATTTGAATGTTTTACTTCTGATACTAGAAGTCTTTTTCTTAACATGTTTATCTTCCCTTTGTTTTCTCTACTTTTCACGAGACACAAGCATGAGAAATATCAAAAATAATTCTAATCTTAAACCATGAACAGGCATTTAAAGACTTAGAAAGTCCTCCATGAAGGCATCCCTTCCTTTAGGCAGATAGCCCTCGTGTGCTTTGCCATAACTGAATAATCCAATCCAGGCATTTATAGAAAGGAATTTTCCTATTACTAAAGAAATTGTAAACTGATAATTTAAAAGATTCATCTTATACTATGTCTCAATGCATCATCAGTAGCCTAGCTAGTGTGGGGTAAGGAGGGGGGACATCTGTACCGGAGCGCAGCATCGATGGGGTGCTGAATTGATGTTACAAAATTTTAGAATGAAATGTTTTTCATTCTTGGCATGCAAAAACTTCAGTTGTTCCTGGGAACTGAAAACCCTAGCTACCGCTCTGTGCATCATACACTACGCATTTTTCCACCTGATGCAATCTCTGTGGATCCTAAATTCTGCTGCCTAGTGCCTTCCTAAGTTCTAAAATTTTGCCATTTCTAGATTTTGTTGCTCAGTGCGTAAACTCAGTTTGTTGCTACTAAAGAAATAAAAGTAGCATCTTTTCTTATACATTCTAAATGCATTTAGCTTTTTAGAATAATGGAAATCTAATTAAAATCTAAAAATTCTAAAATGAAGAAGAAATGTATTGAAGAAAGAAACCGAATACATAAAGAGAAAGAAAATTATTCTTCAAAGATATGTGCGGTTATTATTATGTCAATTAAGCAGTTGTTTAGAATTGTTGTTGCCTTTGGTATAATTTTCTGTTTCCTCACCAGAATGAACATTCATGCTGCATTAGTTCTTACCAGCTCTGGTAATTTGTAATTATTAGTCTTTGTGTTATCGCTGCTGATATTTGAATTTGTTACATTATGAATTGTGAGTTTGTTACAATGTGTTACTGAGCCCGCTTAGATTAAAATTAAATCATATAGCCCTTGACTACTAGTCCACATTTTTAGTTTGAATTTGAGTGTTCCTGTTTAATTCAATTACCATAAGCTGTAGTTGATTTTGCTGGCATAAGAACATGCCTTTATATTCTAAGGTCTTTTTAAATAAGAGGTTTATCTAAACCTTTATCTGACTTTGTAGTTACTTTCAGACATAGCGGTAATTTGCTTCATGTCTGTCAGATGTTTGGGACCATTTAACTTTTATCACATCAGTTAAAACCTCATAGGTACCTAGTCGGTAGACTGACAAGTTAGAAGATAAAACATGCAGAAACTAGTGGGAGTATTGGTTTGCATATTGAAACAAATTTCTAATTGTTAGAAAAGATGCTTAAAGAGAAGGAAAATTATATACAATAGCCAGAATGTCTGGAAAGGCTTCATATTAAAAAGATGCACAAATATCGTCTAAGAATGAATGTCATAAATTGCACATATTTAAAACTGTGACATGTTAATAGATTGTGATTTTAATAATGCTTTTTTAACATATATTTTTAAAAAATAAATTTAATAATGGCCATGTAAATCTATAATGACTAAAGGTTATAAGGTTTTGGCAAATAGGAGGAGACACGGAATTTTCATTTGCCCCCGGGCGATGAAAATCTTAGCTATGGATCTGATATGTAGGATGCATTATTATGAAATACAATTTCATCTTTAACAATGTAAAATCAGTTTGAAAACAAAATTAGCTCTCTAAAAGTTGTCACATTAAATTTAGAATATAATTTCTTGAAACATTTATATTTTAGACATTTTCTCCCTCCTTTCTGCATGCCTTCGTGGTGTAACAATTAGCATACTCAGCACATATTCGAGAGGTCCAGGTGAGGGCATTGCTCATTTTTCAAATCTCTTGCTTCAAAAAAAACCTAACAACTCTACAGGGTATCTAACTATCCAATATAGTTATTTGTAACTAACTGGTCACCCTTAAAAGTTATCTCTGCATATTAAACTGAGTTATTGCCTTTCATTAATCTTTACCATAGTTGCAAGATCTAGCACAAAAATGCAAAAATTAATGTAAAACTCAATTCTTTGCATCTAGTGAGACTTTAAATAATACAAAACAGCTTATCACCTCAAGTGTTTTAGTGGCTTATTGGAACCTTAAAATATATTAACTGGGTTACAACTCCAGAAATTCTATACAAAGTTATGACACTAACTACGTCAGACAGGCAGAGCATAACTAACGTTCTTCGAAACTTGTCAACCATGCCTATATTAAGCTTTCAGGTTTGTTTCAATTAGCAGGCCTTTTCTGTAGAAAAGCAGCAGCAGTGGCACCAGCCAGTCTTCTGTAATGAATCATGCTGATTATGATTTTACTTCTCATTTTAACCTATGCCAGTTAACATAAAATCTACCTGCTATTTACTAAAACTAATATTACTAAATATTACTAACTGAGCAAGTATGTGACAAAATGAGACAAAAAAAAAAAAAAATCAACATAAAGTTAAGTGTTAGTAAAACACAAAATATCCTTGATATTCTTTCATATATGTCCAACTATTATAAGGGTAAAATATGTTATGCTACCTGATAAATTTTATATAGTTGATTTTATTCTCAAATTTTTTTTTATAATTATGTTTGTTAAATTATGTTTAATAATAATGCATTCTACTTGTGAATCTATTTTATTTTTAGGATGGTATCGCAAAAGTGAAGTTCAAGCATAGCTAAAATCTTTAATTGAATTTATTCAGTTCCCGTTTCATGATGGGTCCTTAATTTTTTTCATTAATGGTTCTTAAAAGTACTTAATTTCCATGTGCAGAAATGTGTATGAACCCTGTAATGGGTATTTATTTATATTATAATAATTACTTTATGTTAAAATTAAATACGTACAGTACGAGGTTCAAGATCCAAAATCATGAAAATCTTGGTGATTCAGGATTTCAAAAATTTCCAGATTTTAGATAATGAATTAAAATCTAGTAAGATTACATGTAGAAATTACAAAATAAAAAATGAGAAGGGGTTGTTTGTGAAATAATGAAGCATTTATCATCTTAAAAAAAACCAGAATTTACAAAGAAAAAAAACAAGAAAAAATGCTCAGTGTTATCATTTTTCTTATTTCATTAATATTTGTTTCAGATAATATAATTATTTAAACAATTTCATTTCATGTGTTAATGCTTTTTCTTTCATTTAATACTTATCTTTTTGGGTCAGACTTGTCCGCTCATAACCTTGCAATGCTTCACATAGCATATATTAAAAAATTTCAAAAATTCTTGGTCTTGTAGTTGCATCAATGTTGAAAATGCTAGTGTGAAAAAATTTCCGATATACATTGGCTGATTGATGTATAAAGAGTTTTGTGAGAACAATAAAACAGAGATGTTTACTTTTACTAAAACTTTAATTCTAATAAGTGCTAAAAACCCAACAAAAAGAAACCAGTATTTGCAACATTCTAATCCAAATGTTGGTCCTTGGAATTCACTTATTGTGTATAGGGCTATATAAAACTGAAAAATGTTGCTCTTCTCAAATCATTCAGTGGCCGAAAATGAAAATGTGGTCTGGCAGGTGTTTAAAGCCGCATCCTATAGGATGATTCAATATTATCATGGATAATGATGTTTTGCAATATGGGACGGGGGGAGACTTAAGTTAAATGAAATGACATTTAAGTTGCATGCTTGTTTTGCTTGAGTATCATATTATCTGTTCCTACATTGTGTGGGAAAATGGGCAAATTTTTCAAACTTTTTCTTTTTCGTATGGGAGATGTGAATAAATATCATTTCAATTATTAAAGATCCAAATTTCTAATTTCGTACTAATAATTTAGTGTTTAATTGAATTTTAACATGTATAGGAAATTCTACAATTAATAAAAACTTTAGGTAATATAGCTATTCATCTATATCACATTTTAATTCTAAATTCCATTTTTATATTTTCTGTATCATACATACAGTATAAAGTATGGTATCCGGAATGATCTGAAATCCAGACCTCAAAGCTACCACCAACTTAGTCCAGTGGGGCAATTTGGACTGAAGGACTATGCTTTGGCAATTTGTGTCGAAAACTTTAAAAGGCTGTATCACTTTTCAAACTGTTGCCACCATATATTATCACCGTGGCTTATATTTAAAGAAATTAAATAATGAATAATCTGCATAAAATGTATGTATGTTTCTCGCATTGTGATAAAACAATGGTACCTAGACCCATCAAAATTTGAATAACGAAATCTTCCATAGAATATAGGAATGTGGAAGCCCTAATTTGAATTTGAAAATTGTTTTATTATCGATTTAAGATTTTGTAACACTTTTTGATTAAAAAACTAAACGATTTCAAAGTGAGCAATGGCAACATTGTACGAAAAAACATTTTTATCTACAGCATGTGAGACTCTGTATAAAAAATTCTAAAGATATTGCTCATTTTAAAATTAATTTGCGATATTGCTGTTGAACTGAATTTTATAGTTTTAGTCTTTAGAACATGATTTTTAATAAATATAATTAACAGTTGAAAATGCCCCTTTAAAAAAAATTTAAAATCTGAAGCCTTTTAAATTCCTCCCCCCCCCCACTTTCTTTTTTTTCTTTTTTTTCCTTTCCTTTTTATGCTTTACACATGTGTATTTGATTTCCCTCCTCCATGCATAATAAAACATATGGAGAGTCCCTATTCTTAATTTCACTTCGTCACTAAATAAAATATCTCATTATTGAAGAAACAATCATTTTAGCATGAATTTGTAATAATTTGGCTTCATTGCTGCGTATCTGCTTGGCATACATCTTAAACTGAAACATTCTACATACATACATCATTGATCTCACACCTACTAATATTTTATATCCCTGACGAATCATTATTTATTATATTTTGGGTTAATCTTTGGATTATGGTAACTTGGCGATTTTTTGGCAAAAATTTGGCGCCCAACCCTGCTACAGCAACCTGCTAGTTTTTGTTTGGACGCCATTTTGTTTTCATGAAGTAAAAGCATCCCCCCCCCTCAACATTTTCTTCCAACAATCTGCTAGCCGAATTATGCTTATGCTAGAACTTTTATGGAACAAAAGTGCTTAATCCTGACGAAGATTAGGTGCGAAATTGGGAGAAGTGCAGAATCGCAAACTGCTTGCCGCGGTTTTTAAGAATTGCACATACACAGGTATCCATGTACACGGCGACCTATTTTCACTTAAAAAAACGTCCCAGAATTGCACAAAAGTGGCATTGCGCACACTCTTGACTTTATCCATGTACACTGCTAAAGTACTAGCTAGTAACCTTTATCACCTTACCAAAATGTCGCCCAACTACCTGTTACCATATTCCAAAGATTAGCCATATTTTGTTTTCATCACCACATGTTTATCAACACATGACAACTTGAGTAATGTCTTATGTAGCGATGCCTAAACAATTTTTTTTATGTTAGTAATTGAATAGTAAAGAGTATGGTAACCTTTTATGTTGACATTAAGCTTGGCAATGATTATAGATTCAAGTTAAATGCTCTAAGAAATGTTGGCGAGGAAAAATTTAACAAAAATTTCTTTCCGTATGCTAAAAATAGATTTTGTTAATGATACTTACTCATAGACCAAAATATTACATTTAATGCTATTTGAATTAAGAATAATTTGTTATTCACATAAACCCAGACCTGCGCCAGGACTCGTATAGCCCCACTGGGAGGCAGAATTTAGGGAAGGCAAAGGGAGGCGCTTGGTAGCAGAATTTAGGACTCGTTGAGAATGCATCAGGTGGTAAGGTATCTACTGCTGGCTCTTACTAAGCCTAAAGTATATGTGGAAATTTATTTATTCAGGACTCAGATAAGCCTTAAACATGTGTAAGAAGTAGACATAGGTATAATAAAATTCAGATTTAACTGTCTCAGTGCACGATAGAAGGAAGATAAAATTTAGCAGAACAACTTGTCACCAGTCGCGAATTTCATGATACATCGCCAAATATGTATAGTGAATGATAGCTAAATTACATGATGAGAGCCATGAATTTTAGAGGTTTTTGGATATTGCAAACCAAAGGTGAAGTTTTCCAATTAACGGACTTTGTAAAAAAATGTTGAGAAGCAGTAATAAATGAAGATAATTATAAAAGAAGTTTTTCATTGTGATGACAATGCTCCTCAATCATTAATCAATTAATGGATGGCAAAATCTGTAGTAAGAAAGTGACACAGAGGTTACTGAAAACGAAAAAATTTCGATTGACAAGTTAGTCAGAATTCTTGACACAGCAATTGCAGGACTTCAACAGTGTAACTGATCAAAAAATTGTATCTGTCAACAGAATTAAAGAGAAAGTATTAGCACCAAAAATGGAACAACTTATATTGAAAGAAATGTGTACTAAAATAAACAAATAAATATTAAGCATTTTTTTTTTTTTTTTTCTTAATTTTTACAACCTTGAGATCATAAATGCTTCAATTTTTCATAAATGACATTTTTAATTTCTACATGTCATATTACTAGATTTAAACTGATGATCTAATATCTGAAAAAATCCGGAATTGCGGAAGTCCCGACGAGTCTGGATCTCGGACTTTGTACTGTATTACCTAAAATTTCTTAGTTTTTAAATAGAAATTGACACATTTTATTGTGCATTGGTTTCATCATGTACATTTTTAGAAAGCTTTAAGCATCAGTAGATTATGTCAGTAATATATATATATATATATTTGTTTTGTTTTGTTTCCTAGCTATGAGAAGACAAGATGTTCTACCTCATAGAAATTCTGTTCACCAGCAAACGGGTAGTAAAGTGCGGAGGCAGTTCAAATCCCTAGGCTCACTGGCCTCCAGTCGTTTAACATTTTGTAAACAATCCTGACGTAGGTTCAAAAGTTGTTTGGAATTTGCTGAATGTGGACATTTTGCCTCATGTACAAAAAAATTGGTATGTTTCTGTGATAACATTATAGTGAGTGTTTTTTTTTAAATCTATTTAGGACTTATATCAAAGGAAAGCAAATTAAACATATTTTATTTTCTCATTAAATTGTAATAAATGTATTTCATTGTTCATTTAATGGGTAGTGATAGTTTGCAAGCTGTTAGAATTTTTAATTTCAGTAACTGTTTCACATCTGATATGATTGGTTTTATTATCAGAATGCAGGATTTTATGTATATAACCTGAAAAACATTGTAAAAAAAGCCAAATTTTCGTGATATGAAAGTAAATTATATGTGATGCTTTGGTACCTGAAATTTTGAATGTTTCTTTTTGGAATTGTGAAATTGTGTATCCAAATTTTATATATTTGATAAATGTGTTAATAAATTTTCCTAAACTTTTCTGTGAAATAAAAATTAACACAAGAAGCGTACATCATAGGTATAAATTTTGACTATACTGAGAATTTCATAGTAAGCATTTTTTAGTAATTATTTTGTTTTATAATCAATAATTCAAGAAAAGCATTTTTATTTTATGAATATTTGTATTTAATTTTTAATCACTGCCATATTTTTCTTTCAATTCTATGACTCATATGCTCATGAATTCTTTGAATTTTTTTAAGTATAGATTATAATTTTTACCGCATTTTAATACAGTAATGTTTGCTAAAATTTGCATAACTGATTTTGCTCAATTCTCACATCATTTAATGACCTAATTCCTTCAAACCCTTATGCTTAATGCTAACAAATTGGGGGGGGGAATAGAAAGTAGTGTGAAGTAAAGTTGTAGCTGGCTTTTTAGGAGGGGGACAATATTCTTAATAAATATATGCAAAGTAATTCAAATTGGCTTAGTTAGTGTGTTTCAGGAGTTTTAATCATCAAATTTTTGTGGTGTTTTGAATAGCTTGAAATAGTGATTAAAATTTTAGAATAAATTTGATTTTCATGTAGTTATAACATTTACTAGAACAGTGGTTCTTAACCTTTTTGAGCCGCGACCCAAATT